TAGGTGCTGTGTGATGGCATTTAGGATCATCTGCTCCATGCGTGTATATGGTCTCTGTAAGCGTTACCATAGCAAAATGCCCTAATTAAAGAAGGAAAACCTGTTTTTTTATCTTATGATTGTAGTTTAATGTCATAATTTATAGTTACAGTTTTTAAAGGCTCACTTTGCAAGTTGTGAATTTGTTGAAAGCAGAGCATTCTTCTGAAAATCTTACTGTTTCTATTTTTCCCTCATTTTTGTGTAGGGCTGGAAAAACTGTTTAATTTAACGGTGCTGAATTTGTCATATAATCGCATACACGATCTCTCTGGTAAGTGACTTTGCCATGTGCAGTGTTGGTCTCACTTTAATCTTGAAAAACGACCCAAGTATTTTTAGAAGTTGCTAGTAGTTCAACCAATTCACCGAATAATTCTGCTAAAGGTTGCGATTGTTGCTCCTCTCACTAAGGATTGTTCTGAACTGGAATTGGTACTGCTGTATTTGACAAGGCCAGATTTACTGAGAAAGTAGTACAGTAAACATTTGAAACTTACTTTCAATAATTTCTGCAGGTATTTGCACATTTTCCATGTCTTTCATTTTGATAGGATAAAAATGCAACTTTGTGTAAGTATGTATGTGTTTATATGCACGCGTATGTGAATGAACATTGAGATATGTGTATGTATTTCTTGAAATGGTCAGTTGTTGCTTCTAAGGTTTTAAGTTACAGAATCAAGAGAATTTGTAATAGAAAATTTAGAAGAACATTGGTTGCAGTTTTGTTAATGAACTGAGCTGTAAAATGAAACTCCAAGGAAAATGTTTATTAACTAAAGTTAGTTTTCATGACTAGCTTAAGTGTTGTACTCTGTGGTAGAGTACCACAGCTTATTGACTCAAGGATATGGAGCAAATATTGTTCTCTCATTTCCAGTTATGATATATTATTGAATATTTTTCAACGAGATGCCATTTGTTCTAAACCCCATAGTCTATGATTGTAGCAGAAAACATAATTTTGTGGTTGTTTTGTTTTCTTCAAATTTTCAGGATTTCAATCCCTTCACGGTACCAGGCATAAGATTAGCTATATTGACCTCCACAGCAATTGTGTAAGCAATATTAATCACTTGCTTCAGTGCACAAAGGGGCTGTGCTGTTTGACGAGTCTCATGCTGGAAAAGAATGGAAAAGCCAATCCAGTTTGTAACACAGCAGGTATGGCTCTCACATTAATTAGATACTTTATGCTCATTAGGTCAGTGATTTCCTTTAAGCTATGAGCCATGTTCTGAAGCTTGCAAATTCATTCATAAACTAGCCAACCAGAAATCTAAATTTCATCAAAAGTAATTAGTTTTCCATAAAAAAATATTCTCAGAATTTTAACTTCTTCTATGCTTTGATAAGACTCAGTGTTTTCACGTGAGTCCAGAGGAGAGCCACCAGGATGATTGCCAGGAGAAGAGAAAGCTTCAGAGTGACCTAATTGTGGCCTTCCAGTACCTGAAGGGCAGCTACAAGAAAGATGGAGAGGGACTATTTACAAGGGTATGTAGTGGCAGGACAAGGGGGAATGGCTTCAAACTGAAAGACAGTAGGTTTAGATTAGATACTAGGAAGAATTTCTTTACTGTGAGGGTGGTGAGGCACTGGAACATGTTGGCCAGAGAAGCTGTGGATGTCTTATCCTGGAAGTGTTCAAGGCCAGGTTGGATGGAGCTCTGAGCAAGCTGGTCTAGTGGAAGGTGTCCCTCTTATGCCGGGGGGACATTGATGATTATTGACTAAATTATCTTTATGATCCCTTCCAACCCAGGCCATTCTATGATTCTGTGACTTTATTTTAGGTTAAGGTGGGAAATAGACAAAGAGTGATGGAAAGAGAAAGTACTGCAGAAATAGGAGAAAAGGAGTAGTGATATAAGGTGAGTAGGTGGAGAATTTGAAGAATGGACATAGAGATACTGAAATATAGAAAGAGGATAGGCTTGGGAAGTAGACAGTCTGCAACTGATAGAGACCACAAGAGAAAGATCAGTAGCACTGTTAGTTTTTCCTTCTTTTCCCACAGCTTTGGTTACCAGTGACAGACTCTAAGATGCTCTGCAATAGTTAGCATTTCATAAAAATAGTAGGCAGGGGTTTCACTAGGCAGCATGGAGCCAAGTTGGAGAATGCATGTGGATACATCACTTTTAGTTACGTTGCTTAGAGTTTCTGGTTCTGGCGTAGGTTTTTCGTGCCATTTAAATGTTACACTCTGTGTTCAAACAAGTTAAGTTGTAGCATCCTATTTTGGTGCAGGTTTTGTTTGTTTTCTTTGTCTCTATAAGGAGAAAATCTCCTTACAAGAAGGTAGAAACGGAGGATTGATGCTTTTGGGAGAGCTCAAAGTTAATTTAATTGCAAACAGTAAGACTGTACGAATTACAATAATACAAAATAGCAGTCATATCATGAGCATGTAACTGATGCAGGTGTTATATATGTACAGTTAGAAACCTTAGAGGTAATTGAGGAAAGCCAAATAAGGTTTAAAGTAATTTTTTCAAAAGCACCCATCATCTAGTTTTGCAAATGCATTCAAGCACTATGAAAGCTGTAACAGGACTATTAAAGTTATCTAAATTCCACTAGTTTTCTTCTGCAAGTATTTACATATCTCTTCATATCTATATCTTTGGTGACACTTCCTTTCAAAACCAGTGTTCAGAAGCCCAAATTCTATTAATTTTAAGAAATTTAACATCAATGCTTTCATAGCACCTGATTTCATTTACTGACAAAGGATGAAGTTATCTAAGCCCTTTCGTCATTTGTCTGGTCCTTCCACTTGGTACAACTGTTTTGGTGCAGCAGGCTGATATTGTAAGGTTGTCTATGCAACTGCAGTGTGCTGATGGTTTAGTTTGTAATGACTGTTGAAAGCCACGGGTGAGGAAGGGTGAGATAGCTGTAGATAACTCACTACTTCTTTTTCTTATATTAAAAATGCAATAAATATTTTAAGATGACAGGGTACCTGAAATACACTAGACGTCTCCTTAGGAGATTGATTTCAGTTTAAATGTGGTTTTTCCTCAAGGTTATAGAGAAACTGTTCTTCAGTCATTGCCCCAGCTAACAGCTCTAGATGGAAGAAACATTTCTGGTGAACCAGTGGACCCTACAGAAGAAAACTGTTCAGATTTGCAGTGTTCAGAAGACATTTTGGGCTCTTCGGTTTCATCTGGGTGCCCCTCATCCAGAGATCAGGTGCTGTAGTTTGTGTGTGTTGTTTTTAAGATTGATACTTTTTATTTTTATATTGCATGAAACTCATTATTGTTACAAGGGTTGTCTTTCCTTCTGATAGAACAGTGTTTCCTTACCGCTGGCGACACCACGTATTGATCAGGTATTGGCTCATTTCCGTCAGCGTGCAAGAAAACCAATAGAAAGTGCCATCAGCTCCTCCACAGAGCTTGTCTCATCTTCAGAACCAGAGAAGACTGAACTGGATAAAATATTCAGTGAGATGAGGATTAAAAAAATAGAAGATCAGATTTCACAGATACTGCAAAAGGTGAATTGCTTTTCCTGTCATTACACAGAAAGTTTTGTTTGCAAAATGAGTGTACCTTTTTGACCATGCAAAAGTTTGCTGGAACAGACTGGAGCATTTCTGCTGGTATGTATGTGCTGACTGTGCTAATGTGTCCTTAATTTTGAGAATCTGGGGATAAAATAAAAGCACGTCTTTTAAGAATGAAGATTGCACTTTAAATCATAAAGACTTTCATACTGAACAAAAACCATAGTGTATGGGACTAGCAGTGCTATATGATCATGTTGTATTAGAAAATTACTTTCTGGGTTTTTTACCCTGAAGTGATCAATGTTCTAACTGAACCAGAGTAAAACCCGAAATGCACCAAAATACCTGGATTATACAGTTGGTGAAAATTAGTTTTGCTAATAGGTCAGCTTGGTCTGATAGGTGTGTCAGGTGTGGTTTTGTAACGGTTTGTGGTGTACCTTGCATGTTTGCAAGGCTTTTTTGGTTTTAAGTGCTGTATTTATTTTACATTTTGCACCTACTTTCTATTCCTAAGGATTTTACCGAACTTCAGGTATGTCAGAGACATACAACTGTTTGTTTCCAAGCATGCTGTTCTGATGGGTTTATTTTAGCTAAAAAGCAATGAAATATTTTAGCAAGGAAGGAAGGGATTGTTCGGAAGAAATTATTTACTTTTCTAGCAAAATTAATTTGTGTGAAGGTTTTTTAAAAATAGCACCTGAATAAGTGTTAGAAATTAGTCAATTAGAAACTGTAAACTGTATAGATAAAACTTTGATCTGTTCTTAGGTGTCTGATACCTCAGGAAAGGAAGTTCCTCCAAATACTCTTAAAGCTAAGACAGACACAGATCCAACTTCTGAGAGTGAAAATGAGAGTGGGAAAGAGAACAACAGAAAGGTCATGAAAAGAAGCAAGATCCCTACTTACCGTAGAACTACCTTATCTGCTAAGTGTCATGCAAGTCGTCTTAAGAACAAAACAACTGGCAGGTATCCCAGTATTTGCCATATATAGCCGCATTGAATTAAGCTGAATATTGTCAGTGAACGTAGTTATGACTTCGAAACATTTTGCTGAAAGTGGTAGGTTGAGTAAATTAGCATGTTAATAATGCCCCAAAAATTAGTAGCTACTGAGGCTTCATTCACTCATCTCTCTGTATGAACAGTTTCTGTCCTTAGGTGAGAAGAACTAAACTGAAGGAGGGAAAGTCTAGGTAGGATGTGAGTAAAAAGCTTTTTACTGTCAGGGTGGTGAGACACTGGAACAGGTTGCCTAGAGACATGGTGGCTGCCCCAACCCTGGCAGTGTTTAAGACCAGGAGCCTGATCTAGTGAGGAGGTGTCCTTGCCCATGGCAGGCGGGGTTGGGACTGGGTGATCTGTAAGGTCCATTCCAGCCCCTAAATTCTATGATTCTATGAATTGAAGATTCCAAAACAAACACTTTCAGAATTCTAACACCTTGTATTTCCATCTTTGTTTTAAGTCATGGTGACAGAAGAGTTATCCACAGACATGACAGACAGAACTCACTCATTAAAAATCAAATTTGTGGTGTCACAACTATGGTCAAGAATATGGCAGTCCATAATGTGTGACAAAGCTGAGGATGCCATAGTAATTTCTTTTATTTATATAGTAAATATCAGAAGTGATGAGTGGAAGGTGATACAAATTAGAGTATATTAGTTTAGTCAGCCACTGCAGCTCTACAGCTACTCTGCTTCTCTAAAATTGCTTCGTATCTATGTGATCATAAGATGCTTTTCAGATAGCATCTATTGGTTATATGTATCTTTTTTAAGCTGAATATATGAATTTAGCTGTTTCTGCTATGGTCTGCTTCAGGTTATTTTCTACATGGTTTTGAACTCTGTACTGTCCAGCTTCTGCATAAAACTGTAACATTTTGTCCTATAAAAGTGTCTGAGTCCCCTGTTACTCTTTAAACTCTGCATGTTCTTAAAAATACCTGGATGTCCTGCTGTTATAGGGAAGAGAAGAAGAATTCCTCCAAGTGTCCACACTCCAGTCAGAGAGACACTCATTTTAGTTCTTCATCCGATAATCAAAACTTGAAAGTAGTGGGAAGAAAAGCTGAAATACTAACTGGAAGACAGAACAATATAGAAAAAGTAGAAGAAATTAATTCAAGTGCCACAGAGGAATCAACATACCGAGTAGGTTTTGCATAATTTCAAGTTAAATATGAGTATGTCTTCACCTGAAGCCAAGCATGTGTCTCCTGGTGAAACTAAAATTGGAGGTGACAAAGATGATTGTGTGCAGATAATAGCAAGAATAGTGGAGTTCTTGTAGTGTCAACTGGGAATTTGTTTTATTTCACTTTTATGGGAGTTTTTGGCCTTCTTGCTTGCACTTTTCCTCTATCTGTGAGTTCCAGAACAACAAAAAAGTCTTGTTCTGTAATTATAAGTATTGTTTGTCATTTTTGGCTACACTTGAATGTTTCCTACTAAGTTGATTCTTACCACATTTTTGCTAAGGTGCTGATTCAAGAACTGGATCAGGAGAAGGAAAGGAGATGGAAAGCAGAGCAAGCAGAGAAGAAATTATTAGAGCATGTCAGAGAGCTACAGAAGCATGCAAAAGAAGAAAAGAATATTCAAAGTATGGCTGTATACACTACTGACAGGTAGGGAAGCACAGTGCTGTAGTATAAAAGTTTGGTTTCTTTTAAATTGCAACATTCAATTTGTAGGCTTAAGAAATGAAAAGCTTTAAACAATATACTTGGAAAATATTGCGCCAAGAAGTAGTGCTAGAATTTCTCTACCTGATGAAATTTCTTTCTGCAGATTTCTTCTTGCTCTTGCCTTAGAACAATATCAGAAAATTATCAAATTACAAATTGATAGTATATGTTCAACTTTTATGTAAAGCAAAATGATATTGGAATATAATTTCCTAGAAGATTTATCCATGAGGTTGTCTCCAGATCAGGTTATTTAAAATGAAGCTCCATACAGTAATGCTACACATGATGAAATGTTTGTAATACAACTTTATTGCATTTATTCTCAGGTTAAAGGAATTAGTATTGAAAGAGAGAGATGCCAAAGCAAGACTGCAAACAGATGTCCAGCAGTTAAAAAGTGAAACTGAAAGACTTACTAATGAGTTAAATCAGGCAAGAAATAAAGAAGCAGAACATCAGAAGGCTACACAAGCTTTAGAAGAAACAATATCCAAGATGGAGACGCAGAGATTGCAGCAACGAGCGATAGAGGTAAATGTTTTTCATGAGCAGAATGGCAACAGTATGGCTACTGTAGCCCTGGGTGTAAAGGCAAAGTAGATGTTACAAGCAGTAAGTCTGAGTTTTCCACAATAAAAGCTGAGGCTTTTTTTCTGCAGAGTAGTAGTTAATAACAGGTATCCATTTGAATTGTCAATGTCTTTTATAAATGGGAGTATGTCACATGATGTGATCTTAAGCTAAAGAAGAACAAGTCCTATGTACTTAACACTGAGAGTTGATATTTTCTGAAAACATCCAGTAACAAAGACAAGTTTTTTTAAGAACATTTGGATCCTGCACTTTGGTCACAACAATCCCATGCAGCGCTGCAGGCTAGGAGCAGAGTGGTTGGAAAGCTGCCCAAGAGAGAAGGATCTGGGGGTGCTGGTCAACAGCAGCTGAACATGAGCCAGCAGTGTGCCCAGGTGACCAAGAAGGCCAGTGGCATCCTGGCTTGTATCAGAAATAGTGTGGCCAGCAGGACAACAAAACAATAGGAATACAGTAAGGTGTGTCTAAATGTTAGTCATGGAAACGCTTAACCTGTAGAACATGAGAACTTGGCCTTCTGAAGTGTCCTGATTTTGAACTACCATTTCACAAATAATTTGTTAGAACTTTTTCTCATATCTTTTTTCCTTCCTTGTTGAATCAGAAAGATAGCTTTGTCTGTGAAAGGCTTATATTTATAAAATGGAATTACTCATAAAAGCTTGGAGCAAATAGAAAAAGGGGAGTGTGCCATCTTGTGCTTATCCTGATTCTCCATTTTTTCTAAAATCATTAGGAAGCAGCTCTGTTCAGCAACCTTTAACTCTAAAACGGAATTGTTGAGATTTTTACAAGTGGAGTGTTTAAACAAAGAAAATTATGTTGCATACATCTCAAAATGTTTTGTTTGAAAATAATACTAGTATTACAGTATGAGAGTTTGTAACTGAGTAAATCATTCTGCCAATGCACTTCTTCAACTTTTTGCACAATACTTTCAAGTTCTTTACAAATTAAGTAAATACCCTTAGTTCTTCATGAAAGTTTTTGTGTGTTATAGTAAGACAAGACTTCATTTTAAACATCTTGTCTTAAATTTCTCCACGGGTGACAAGATATATTCAGGAAAAAACCCAAAATAAAATCCAGTATAAGACCTGAAGACTAGATTAGTTTTAATACAATCCTTATTTATGAATTCCACACAGATGAAACAAGTGCAAGAAGCAGAGCTTAAAGCATCAGCAAACGAAAGAGAAGTACAATTACTTCGAATATCTTTCCGACAGCAGAAGGAGAAGGTAAAACAGCTACATGAACTTCTCGTATTAAGAGAGCAAGAGCAAAGGTATGGGGTCATCTATTTTCACAAGTTAATAGAGATGCTAGTGTTGCAAACATGTTTTGTTTAAATGTGTTCTAAGATGTGGGCGTGGTTTCGTTTGGATTTGTGTTTGGTTTAGTTTGGGGTTTTTTTAAGTAATGGGAGAGAGTCTTTGTAAACATGCAGATGGCTTCCCACACGTTTTCTTGCTGATGTGAGAATGTCTTCATATCTTGTAGATTCCTGTAGACAGCCATGGTCTCCTGGCCTTTCATGTGATAGGTTCTTGTCTTATGATATAGCTGAATTTTTGTTTTAAATACTTGATCTATAATTCAGGAAATATCAGATAAAAATAAAATTGTATTTGATTTACTGTCTGAAGAGCTGCCTATACTACAATAACACAAAGTGTTCCAACAAATAAGTCAGTTTCTGCAGTATCTTGCCTGTGCATGAGTGGGTGAGGTACTTGTCTGGCTGTTTTTCTTTTTGAAAATTTCCCTTTTTTTGAGAGTACTTGAACCTAAGTTCTATACTGTTCAGCTAATACAATCAAATATGCATACAAACTAAAGAGTAAGTACCAGGTGGTATAGTAATATGTGAGAAAGGTTATTAATAAGCTGGTTAAATTTGCTAAATTTTACAAGGGCAAATTTATTGAGATACCAAGATAACTGCAGGTTTAGATGGGAAGAATCTGATAGCTCTGAGACCTTCCAATAATTGTCTCATAAATCCAAAGTTATATCCAAAAGATGTAATGTAATATAATCCAAAATTACATCCAAAAGATGTAATGTGAAGGACAGTGGATGTGGTTTTTTGCTTTAAAGCAGACAAACAGAATAGTCTTAGAGTGCAGGATACTTTGGCTTCAACATTCTCCTTTCAGGTCCCTGTTGCTGCTGCTTTTGGGTTTTGGGTCTGAGTGAGCAGCAGCAGTTGTTGGGTGAGGGTGAAGAGAATGACTGCAAAAGAGAGTGTCTGGCTGTACAGGGCTTTTCTCTGATTCCAGTGTCACTTCCAGATGTTAACAGCAAATGAAACAAATGCTAACTAACAGCAAAAGAGGAATTGAATAATTTATACAAAAGTTTGAATTAAAAAGTAAGGTTAAAATTAAAAGTAAGGTGTAGCAACAGAATTTTCCTCATGGCAGGGCCGTTGTCATAGAAGACTGAAATATGTGAAACTAAGGAATTTATCCCATTTATTATGTAATTTATTTTCCTTGGTAAGTAGTACTAAGGAAATTAATTAAAACAGCATTGCAAGATACTGCAGTTTGTGTCTCACGTGTATGTTTGATAACTTCAGGAAAGAACTTGAAACCCGAGTTGCTTTAAATGGACCTGAATTTCAAGATGCCTTGTCGAAAGAAATGGCTAAAGAGGAGCAGAGGCATGAACAGTGTGTTAAAGAACTTCAGGAGAAAATCAATATGTCAAACCAGAAGTATAGAGAGTTAGAAGCTGAATTTCGTTTAGCTTTAACTATTGAAGCAAACAGGTTTAAAGAGGTGAGACTTTTCATCTCACACTAGGTGGGGTTGTAGTTCTCTTAAATGTGTTGAGTTTTGGTGTTTCTTTTGTTGGGTTCGTTTTGATCCTTAAGGTCTTTGCTCCAAGGATTCATGCAAAAATACTGGTAATAAGCTTTGAAATATCAGTGGTTAGAACATAGACAACAAGTGCCAAGTCAGCACTCAAAAAACCCAGCAATTTTGTTCATAAGTTAATCAAAAGAAATTAGGAAAAAAGCTGTCTAATTTTTAAAAATATGTTTATCTTCTATTAGAATATATTCAATTGCATAAAAAACTCTTGTGTTTTGATAATGAGATAGTTGCATATATATGAGTATACTTAATAATGAAGTTCCTTATTTAACTTCAAAATTGAATTTTGGATATACATTTTGAAACTCAAATTCAAAACTTACTAGATCTCTGAAAGAACTTCTCTGGTTAGTATTTACAATTTTTATATGTAAAATAAAATACAAAGGGCTTCACCTTCACTTAAATTTGGTTTTCATCATTTTAAATCAGTTTTAAATAGATGGGAGAAGAGGGGGGGAAAAAAGACTTTTTTTCACCCATCAAATCTTTCTGTTGCAAGAAAAAAAACACTGAATTAAATTCAAGTTCTTCTTTCAAGATTTTAATGTCTGTCTTAACAATGAGATTAAATCAAGGCATTGTTTAAGTTCTGAAGCCATGTCTTTCCTGCTCTAATTTCCATCCACCCATGAAGGGATTTTTTGCCTGTTTTGGTTTTTTGTTTGTTGGGGTTGGGGTTTTTAACAATTTGTAGCTGTGCAGAACCACTTTTTCAAGCTGAACTGTCACCAACAAACCAGGAGAAAAGCAGCTTCAGATAATCACTAGTTTCACATACTATTGATGAACTTCTGTTTCTTCACTTGAAATTTAAACGTCACTTGTGTGTATGTATTTCAAGTGCTTTTTCAAATGTTAGCATTTTTCAATTCTTGACTTAAAAAACTCTAGGTAAAGGAGGGGTTTGAAAATGTCTCTGCTGATCTGTTTAAACATAAACGAGCCCTCTTTGAGTTTGAACAAAGGGAAAAAGAGATGGCAAGTCTGATCCAAGACCTGACAAGTATAGTGGAAGAACAGAAAGCAAAGATTGCAGATTTAGCAAAATTAAATGAAGAAACTACAGCAAACCTGAAGGTACTTTTTTCCAAACATTTCAGCTACATACATTATTTTTGGTAATATCTATAACATGTCTTATCTATATCTATATAGATAATGTTTTGTCTATAAACCAGTTCCATGCACGGTTGGTTGACTGAAAGACACCTGTTTCTGACTGCACCAAAACCTAGTGCTTCATATCAGCCTTTATTCTTGCATCTTGCACTTCTAGTTCTCCCAAAGACTGCTCCTCATATAGAAAAATCTAGACTCATTCATGTATTCGAAAGTGCACTCCTTGCCTTGTGAGCACTAGCAGTAATGGTCAGTCAGAACTGAGATTTAAAAACCTACATTAATAGCCTTGATCCTCCGTAGAATGTAATATGCTTCTGCAGTGATCGCTGTACCTGAAGTAAAAATGAATTGAATAAATTACCCAATGTAGTCATTAGCACTTTAATATCTCCTAGTTACTTAAAGTTAGCAGTGTTGTTCGTTGTCTCCTAATTGTTGAATTTTAATGCTAAATACTGTGGGCACAGTTGCCTTCCCAGTTTACCCTACTGATCACCCTATGGGAACATGTTATACTACTATGCTATCTGTAAATAATTGTTAAAAATTTTAGGAAAATAACTTTTAAACTGTTGTGCAATCCAGTCCATGTATGTTTCCAGTCCATCTCTGTGGTAAAACTTCAGTGCAGTGCAACCCCTGCACAGCTGTTTCTAATCTCTCCCACACCGGTTGCTGTTGAGGTGTCCAGACATTGTGCTGTTGTACAGAATTGGATTGTGCCACTCACTGATGCTGCTAAGAACAAAATTTGAAAATACATATATCAAATAGTTGTAATTTGTAAAATCAAAAGTAGCCTCCGTAACTGAAGATAGATCTTTACCATGGGAAGTGAAGTTCATCCCAGCTTCTGCCTGTTTTCTTCTGATTTGGTTTTTAATATCCTAGCTTTATCTTCTCTTTTGCTTATTTTGACCTGTGCAGTTGTAATTCTAAACAGGTTTTTATAATGGCATTCATTATTTAAGGTGGTTATTTAGAAATCAGCTTTACAGTTTTCTGGGATTGAAGTATGTCTAGCTGTAGCAAACATTTGTATTTCATTACTGCGAAGAGCTGCAAATAGAACCCTGCATGCAAGCAGAATATTTCTCAGTTAACCTAATTTCCTGTATAAAAGTATTACATTCCTAGTCACTTGGTATCGATTTGAAATTTTGAATATTGTTTTAAAGGATCTTACAGTATTTTCCTAATGTTCGTTTATACAGTGTCGAACTGGAGAACTTGAAACTGTGATTGAGGAGGACAAACAGAAGGCTGTTCAAGTTGAACTTCTAAAAAAGGAAAATGGAAAACTTATTTCTCAGCTGACGGCCCAGGAATCTGTGATTGATGGGTTGAAAATGGAAAGAAAAATATGGGGGCAGGAGTTAGCACAACAGGGTAAAACAGTTGGTCTATTTTCTTTTGCAGAAAAATTGGTGGTGGTCAGTCTCTTACATTTCAAATAAACACTCCAGCATGGCTGTAATCCTGACAGGGTCTGTGGATGCCTAGTCCCAAAGATGATGTGCAAAAATAGATGTTCTGTGGCACACACAGGCTGATACAGGATCTGTAACAGCAGTTGTGGGAGTTAGTTGCAAATATAGATTATCTACGTCCTGAAAATGCCAAAATACCGTAATGTAGTACAAAGAACTTCTTAGAATATAAAACTAGGAAAACAGGGATTTGTAAACAGTGATGCATAATATAATGCTGCTTGTCTGTCAGACAAGTCTAATGTGAAAAATTCAGTATGTATCTTAAAGTGTTAAATACTGGGTGAAAATAGAGAAAAACCTGGGGCATTGTTCTTTTTTCTCTATTCATGTGACTCAAAAACCTTGTGGTTTCTTTGAGATTGTCTGGGTCTGTAAGAATTACTGTTGACTTTTTCACAGAAATTTTCAAAGGTTAAAATACAGACTTTAAGTTCTACATTTCCTCTTATGTGTTACCTACTTACAGATTAAATCCCTATAGATTAAGTCCTTCCAGTGGGTGAAGCAGTTATGTTTGGTTTGTGTGGTGGTTCTCACCTTTGCCTCCCCCCCATGTACCAACATCCTACATCTTCAAGTCGTCTGTAAAATGAGTGCTGTAGTGTGAATATCCTGTTTTGTCTAGGAGCTCATCTTGCTCAAGATCGGGGAAAACTGGAGGCAAAAATTGAAGTGTTAACAAATGAGATTGAGACATTAAAAAAGCAAAAGGAACAGGACAGTGATACTATAAAAATTAAAAACAAAATACTGGATGATCAGACAGAAACAATTAGGAGATTAAAAGAAGTAAGTGCCATATCTGACAATTGGTGTGCTTAACTTTCACTGCAAGTCTTCATTTTAGCTATCATAAGAGCTGTAATGAAAACTGGGGCTGCACTCCCAGTTTACCCACTCACAAATCACAGTCAGGCTGTCAGTGGCAACTGATTTCACTGAGCAGAAGTGGCCTTTAATTAAATTGATGTACAGAGGTGCTACTTTGAAACTCTATTGAACCATATTTATGTACAGGCTTTCTTCTCCGCCTTGCTTCAAGTTATTCCTGATAATGATTTTAAGAGAGGTGAAACTAGAATACCATAATTCTTCCCAGGTGTTTTAAAGAAAATAAGAAATGTTTGCTTCACATTTATTTTACAATGTAAATGTTTTGTCTCTGTTCTTGTAGATCAGTATTTTGGCAGCAGAGGTACTATGTTTTGTTCTATTAATTCCATTTGTCTTTAGCTTATTAATCAGAATTTTAGAGCATGTTATGTCAGTCAGATGCATTAGTCATTAAACTGTACAGCAGTGTTACAGATGGTGAGCTCATTGACTGATGTAGAATAAGTTGTTCAAAAGAATAAGTTGTTTACTCAACTCTTATGTAGAATAAGAGTTCCAACTAACTTTTTTCTTAACTTTCTTCCTACTTCAGATTTATGGGTTTTTTTTATTTCTACTTCTTTCAGATGAAGATAGATTAACTGGCTATCACTTTACTAAGTGTTTTTTTTATAATAATGCATTCAGAAGAGTAAATTTTCACATGTCGTTCTCTGCTTTATTCCACCATAGACCAAGCAAATACTCTTGAAGAGTAACAGTAAATATTAATATTAAGGGAGTTTGTGTTCTAAAATATGTATTTTCTAAAGGGCTTACAAGAACAAGAGAAACAAATCAGAAAACACCATGAAGAAAATCGGGAAGCTCAGACATTGCTTCAAGTACAGTTGGATGAAAAAGCTGCTGAATGTGAAGAGCTAATGCAAAAATTAAAAAGGCAAAGTGAAAGAAAAGAGGAATTAAAGCAACTGCTAGAAGAAAAAGAAGTAGAACTCGATGACATCAAGAATGCACACAGGTGATCCAAGTCATGATAATTCTTTGAGATCATAGTATGCAACACTGCTCTGAAGTTATTCTATGTTCAGAGAGTACCTGCTTGCTGTTAAAATACACAGAAATGTGGAAAAATGGAAGCATGGAAAACTTTTTTTCTGCCCTCGTAAGAAGTGGTATTTATAGTCCTTGTAAATATGTGTGTTTTATTCTCAGTGCACTGAAAAAGAAGTGGCAAGGTAAAGGAGAGCTATTAAACCAGCTGGAGGGGCAGGTTAAACAAATGAAGGAGAACTTTGATATCAAAGAGAAGAAGCTGATTGAAGAGAGAAATAAAAGTCTTCAAACTCAGAGGTGAACACCTTAACAGTTTATTTTGTGACTGCTCAGTTACTGTAGAGTATATAGTATGCCCATTCCACCACAATTCATTTGATTTACCTCTGCATGTAAACTCTCTGTCATGGTTACATGACAGGGGCTCTTCTGTAGTCATCACGTATGCTGGCTGGAGCGAAAATATTTGTGCACATAGGGCACAGACTGTATCAGGGTTTCTTTCAGCATGAGCCAGTCAACCTTCTAGTTCATGACCAGGATGCATAGGACAAATTAGTTGCAAATCAGAGGTCAAGCCAAGCTACTATGGTTAGCATTTGGGTGTACAAGGGAGGCAATGCTGTTACTGAAGGAATTAAGCTAGTATGACTAAGGATGTTTGCTTTACATGATAAATTTAATAGTTTGTTTAATTACACTTCACCTGTTATTTTAAGAAAGGTCATCTGATTAATAAATGAAAGAAAATACCTTGATGGTCAAGTTTGAATTTTAAAAAAAAAAGAAAAAACACAAACCAACACCAAACAAAAAAACCCCAAACAAAGCCAACCACCTCAAATAGTCAATAGTACTGGGCTTTGGAATTGTTGAAAAATTGGTTGTGAAACTGAAATTTTTAGTTCTGACTAGTTCTGGTTTGTTTCAAACTTTTGTTGTAAATTAATTGTATAGTAGAATAATTTGTCTTGCTTTCTGTTTCTGCATATTTTAGAATTATTCCCTAAAAGCAGAAGTTGCTTGGAGTCAAGGAGATGCTTCACTACTGTGAAGCAGACACTTCTGTTTCTGTGAGTCACAGGCCATGTACAGGATCACACAGTTCTTCTCCCATTCACTTCTTGCAAAGTAAAAGCATAATAAGTAGAGGTTTGAAAACGAGTGGAGTTCTTACCCATCTGGACAGTAGCAAGCCTGAATCTTTGTCTCCTTTGCCTAGTAATTAAATTCCTCTGCTCAGAGGAATGCCACAAGCCCTAAACACAGTGCATAAAACTAGAACATGTACTTGAGAAAACAGGACATCTTCTGATGCTGATAGTGATACAACTGTCTTTGTGCCTATGTTATTAAAACCTTATCAAAGGCAGAATTGGGCAAAGCAAAATACTTCAGTTGTTTGCTAGAGTGTGATTCTTTTTTAATCAATTTTTAGGATTGCTGTGGAAAAGCTTCATGAAATGGATAGTGCTTTTAGAAAACAACTTGAATCAATGCTGGCAGCACATCAGGAAGAACTATTGCAGCTGGCAAGTGAAAAGGAAGAACAAATTGAAGCAGCAAATAAAAAAGTAATTTTTATACTAAATTTATTGTATTTGCATTTTTATTCTACAGCTGCTATGACAGTGGTGATTGGAAGCGTCCTGTTTGTATATATCAGGCCAATCTCTGGATGGGAGCAGCCCATCCTTGCACAGCAAGAAAATATCAAGATTTGTGCCACTGTGAAGTTTTGTATTCAAGCGAAGTAAAGCTCCATCTTATGTAGCTGTTACAAATCACTAGCTACACATTTCCTTATCTGTAACAGGCAAGAGTAATGATTGTGCCAGATAATCTGTTTAACTCACCTATGCCAGTGCTAACAGTTCTGTTCCTGTCATACACTTCACTCTTCCTTCGTGTGACAACTAGTGGTTTTTCTCTGTAATGGATTTTCTGGGTTTGATAGAGTACTTGCTATCTCCTAGCATATTAATAATTTTTTTAAAGCAAAACTCTGCCATTGCATCCAGTGCCAAGAGTAGTGCTTGCATATTTAAAAATAAGCATATAACTCTTGCATTGCTTATCAGTGTTAAAAATTGCGAAGATTCTATGTGTTTTGGTGTATTAGAAAAGCAAGAATTATAATTGGTCTCTGTGTGCTCTTTCAGGTTTACTATGTTGAAGAAGAAATGCGGCAGCTTCTGCGGGAGATGGCAAACAATAAAAAAGCAATGGAAAATAAAATACGGCGACTTACACATGCACTGAATGACATTCAACAAGATCTTTGAAGATTGTGAATATTTACACTAAAAACACATATTACACACACTTGAGCAAATTCCTACGCTGCAACGCACTTTTCCTTGTTTTCTAGAAAGTAAATTCTTTGTTGTATATTTTGGTGGTTCAGGAATCAGACATAAATGTTTTTACCTTATTTTCATAATAAATGGTTATTTCTATCCTTTGGTTATTTTTAACTGCTGTCAAATGGGTCAAAACGTGTAGAGGAAAAGCTTAATATGAAAAGTTTGCTAAGAGAAAAGAAAGTTTGGGAAGTTCTAAGCCAAGAGCTTGTACCTGAAAACATGTTTTATCTGCCACTGTTGATGAAGAATGCATGACTACTGCAACTGAGGCTGGCTTTTTTGGCAGTGTTGTTTGGTTTGCTCTAGAGCAACAGGGTTCTTACCAGGCTTTGGAAATACAAGAGATAGTTTCTTAAACTAACAGCATCTTATGGAAGCAAATCATAAGCCTAATGTTAATAGACTGATATACTTTTTTCATAATGGAGGCTTTACCACCTCCACTGTACTCAGGCATTCACTTCCTTGTTCTGAGAAGATCCTAAACTGTTACTTGACTGCACCCTACACTGAAGTGTTCCTAGCTGCCCTAGTAAGTTGAGAGCTGAGAACAGGCTGGTTTTGCTTCAAGAATTGAAGCAGCAGCAGCAAAGTAAAATTAAAAAAAGGCTGCCCAACACAAATGAGGCACCTGTGATGGCCTGGGAAAACAACCCCTCATTCTGCTTTGCACAGGTGGATGGCTGGGAATTACTGAGAGTTTGCATGGTCATATAAAAAAGGTAAATCCCAAATTTGTGGGAGGGGACAGAAAGCAGACACCTGATTCAGCTCTGGCTTCCTGCATTCAGAGTTCCCACACGTGGCCCATGAAACCACCAAGAACGAGCCACCAGCACTAATCGGGAGGTATCTGCACTGTTGTACTCCCAGCTGAGGTGGCTCAGAGCTGCTAAGGACCGTTTGCTTGGAATCTGTGCTATAGTGGTAATGGTTAGCAAGGTGTAAGGACCAACTCTAATTAACCAGTTGGGTTAATGAATGTTAGTCTAGCAAATTTTGCTGTGAAGTTTAAAATCAGCCTAATTTATTGTTGTATAGAATCCCAGTGATCTCTTGATTTCCTGATACCAATATATCAGTTCTCTAAATGCAGAACTTATTTCTTGTGCTCTACATACTCCTTAAGAAACCACATTATGTGAAGAAATACTCAGCTGGAAAACTGTATTTTATATACAGTTATATTAGCTGTATATTATATAGTTATAATAGCTGTATATTATATATAGTATTTTCATGGATATCAATGGTGCAGAAAAGTTGTACCACTTAAGAGTCCTTTTCTGTCATGTTTATGCAGTGTTTCCTTGGGCACTTGTTTTTTTCTTTGCTTATTATTTGACCATGCACTTTGGGTGAAGTAATTGAATACCTGGAATGCACCAGGAAGTTGAAAGAACTTATTCTCACCCAGATTCAATTTATTAATGTCTGCTCTGAATTTTCACTCCAAAACTTTTGTTCTGAAACTTATTTTCTGGTTTCATCATAAGGAGTTATTACAGTTTTTAACATAAATTCTTATTCCTTGCTCTTGGCTCAGAAATCTCATACTACAGTACTTGGGTACATGCACCAGTTAATAGTGCTTGGAATGTTTGTTTTTCTTGTGGCTATTTCTGTCTTTGGCATCGTTTCCCTCTTATGCTTACATAGCTTCCTTAGAGCTTTTTAATAGGTATTTAATATAGGTATTTATATGATTTCTACCTTCAATGTCAGATGCAAAGGCAGGTTCTCATGCATTAATCATGACAGTTTAAAATTGATTCCATTATTTGATTTTGTTTTCATTTCCAGACAAGATAATGGATGTTTTAATCAATATTGACTATGTCATCAGTCAGGAAATTCCTGTGTAATTTGAGACCAGTAGGACTGATTTTAGGTCCAGAGAGAGGACATCACTGCTTCTCCTCTATGGACACATACTGCCCTGAACATGCTATTACCTGTGCAAGTACAGTTCCTGTGCAACATGGCACAGCCAGTGCAATATGCTCCACTGCCTCATGTTATGGGTGCCTGTGGGTCTTTTCCCAACAGCATTTCTTCCTTGAAGTGCATCCCTTGGGTTCTTAGGAAATGGGGACTTTAAAGCCTCTCTACTTTTATCCAATGGAAACTGAGGAAGAGATGTACCTGAAGTAAGGTTAAGACCACATACATTTGGACACCAGGGCAAGGGACTGGGTAAGCATCTGAAATTCCCAGTGCCTGTCATCAGACCATCAGCGAGTCCTGTGTCTGGCCTTGGTGTCACCGAAACTGGGAATAAAACCTCTCAGCACCAATGTAGGATTAGGCAGCAGCATTATTTATTCCAGCACTGAATGCACAGGGGATGCTCCGCCAAGCTGCATCCCAAATATCCAAACTTTTTACTATTTATACATCTCAGAAAACAAAGCAATTAGTGCTCATTGGTCACAAGTTGCCTCTTATTAATTAGTATTCTGTCATCTACTGGTTGGTGATTCTCTCACTCCTTATGCTAATGTCCTGGGTTGCAGTGTGTGGGGTAT